TGCTGCTGCTGCTGCTGCTGCTGCTTCTCTTCCACCTCCTCCATCTCCTCCATCTTCCATCTCCTCCACCCGCCTTCCTCCTCCTGCATCTTATCCTCTTCCTTCTCTTCCTCCTTTTCTTCCTCTTCTTCCTCCTTCCTTATTCTTCCTCCTCCTTTTCCTCCTCCTTTCCTGTCTTCTTCATCATCAAGCTACTTCCATGCCCTGAGTATCCAGGACCAAATCCTTTATACCTATCACACATCTAACCCTCTCCACAGTCCCAATAAGTACCTCCTATTATACTGCCTATTTTGCAGAGGGAAAAACTAAGGCAGGCAGATCTTGAAATGATGTTCTTAAAGTCACACAGCAAGTTGAGGAGCTGAGTTGCAAGCCCCAGCCTTCTCACTTCAAAACCTACACTCTAACCACTGTGTTAGGTGAAAAAACGTGGCCTTTGTGAACCTGGATTGACTAGCTAGACAGGAGAGGAGACAAAGAGCAAGGAGAAGGAAATCTTCAGACCAAATTGGCCCAGAAATCTATTGCACTAACCACATCATTGCCTGACAAAAAGAATCTGTGTGAAGCCAGTGAGAAGAGAGAGAGGGGAAAAAATAACCCAGGCCTATGATAGATCTCATCCACCTTCGTGTCAAAGCTGCTTTCTAAATAGAGGTTAATGTATTTCCCTTATCAAATTCTCTCGCTGGCAGACAAGCAGAACAATGTCACAGTCACTGATCCAGTTGACCCATGTTCCTGTCCCATGTGACACCAAGAGGATCATTGTGTCTGTAAAGCCAGAGATAAAGGTCTAGAGGCACTTCTGAGTTCCTCACCCCTCATGATGTCACGAAGGAAAGAATGGGTTATAAGGGATACACAGTTACTTTCCAGGAGCTGTATTTGAGCCCCCTCAACCTTGCCAGCAGTGGGGATCCCTTCTCCTTCAGACCTGTGTGAAATGTTATTTCCTTTTGCAAATAACAAAGGAAACATGGACCCAACATGACATTTGATTGGAGGCTCCAGGATTTAAGCTGATAGTTAGGATTTTCTGGACATTTACTATGTGCCATACACAGAACTAAGTGCATGTAAATGTTGATTGTTTAATTTCATCCCCACAACAACTCTCTGAGGTTGTTATTGACCACCATGGGCATTTAAAAACATGACTACAAATCTTTGGACTCTTCTCATCAAAAGTCAGGGTCTATGTCTCCTCGCCTTGAATCTGTGCAGGCTTGTGACACTTCCCTTAGTAAGGTGACACTGCCCTGTTTGCTAGCTCAGTTGTTCTTTGAGTCATGAGTTGCCGTGTAAGAAGCCCAACTACCCTGAAGCAGCCATATTGTAAGGAAGCCCAAGCCACACGTAAGGGGTCTACCTCATCTCTGCTGAGCCCAGACTTTGACTTATTCCAGCCCAGGTACCAGACATGTGAGTGAAGAAGCCTCTAGATCAGGGGTCAGCAAACTTTTTCCGTAAAAGACCTGACAGTAAATGCTTTCGGTTTTGCAGGCCACATGGTCTCGAAGAAGCCTCTAGATCAGGGGTCAGCAAACTTTTTCCGTAAAAGACCTGACAGTAAATGCTTACGGTTTTGCAGGCCACATGGTCTCTGTCATGACTACTCAACTCTGCCACTACAGTGCAAAACCAGCCACAGACGATATGCACAAAAACAGGTGGTGGGCTGGATTTGTCCTGTGGGCCACAGTTTGCCAATCCCTGTTCTAGATGATTCTGGCCCCCAGATGTGAGTTTTCCCAGTTGAGTCCCTGAATAATGGGAGCAGAGAGAGACCATCCCCTCTGTGCTCTGTCCCAATTCCTGACCCACAGACTCTGTGAGCATATTAAAAGAATGGTTTTTTTACACCACTAACTTTGGGGTAGTTTGTTGTACAGCAGTAAGAAACTGGAGCACCCCCATCTTACATGTAGGAAAATTGAGGCTCAGAGAGATTAAGTTACTTGCCCAAAGTCTCATAGCTAGTACATGGAGGAAGACAACACTGGCTGCCAGGTTTTCCTGACACCAGAAGCCAAGCGCTCTCATCTGCTAGGATGATGCCATAAGGAGCCAGATAGTGACTGGCTCTGAGATCTAGTAGTAAAAACTATGGTTGATAGCACGAGAGGAAAATAACATATGGGCTTTGGTGGGGAGGCATGGAAGGAGAGATCAGAGATTGCTAGGATGATGCCATAAGGAGCCAGATAGTGACTGGCTCTGAGATCTAGTAGTAAAAACTGTGGGTGATAGCACGAGAGGAAAATAACATATGGGCTTTGGTGGGGAGGCATGGAAGGAGAGATCAGAGATGGAGGGAGGAACAAAATTATGCATAGCCTTGTGGGCTGCAGCAAAGAGTCTGATTTGTTTTCTAAATGCACTAGAAAGCCATTGGACAGTTTTTAAAGAAGAGAGTGAAATTAATTAGAATCACTCTGGCTGCTATGTGAAGAATGTGTTGGGGAGTGAGCATCCTCTCTCTAGCCTTATGCAGAGAAGCAAGACTGTGCCTTGCCAATGGGAGGTTGATGGTCATCACAATGCACATCTGGGATCTCCCCTGTCCTTGTGTTGATACATCTTTTATCCACCTTCAACACAATGTGATCTTCTTGTGAAGCTTGGGAAGTCACCTGTTGGCATGTGCAATCTTTGCCTCCTACTGTGGGGCTGGGAGAAGTATCCCTAGGATAGCTTTGATGCAGCCCCATCAACAGTCCAAAGAAAGAATGTGGAAATCATGCTAATAATTTCCAGACCACAATGGAAGGAAAGGTGCACAGAGGAACCCACTGCTGACCACCGACCTGGAGACGAGCCAGAAGTCAACCAAACTGGTTGTTTGCTGCTCAGAGCTCAGGGCCCCAAAGATATTTGTCCACCTAGTCTCCATCAGAAGCTCAGAAATAGACCCCATCCCATTCCTTGGTGGTTTGATTCAACAGATGTGTCAGAAAGCCCAGAATCATCTGCAAAACTGATCCCAGCAGATGGTGAAACATCTCACAGAGCAAAGCAGGCGTGGTCTGGATCAGGAAGGAAACTCTCTTTCTGCCCCTCTTCTGATCCCTGTTGCACCCTCAACACACCCATTCATTCTCATTCCCAAGTGCCCTCTCTCTAAATCAGAGAGACTTCTGGCACACGCACCTCACCATTGATTGCTGGATGGTCCCAAGCTCTATTCAACACAATCAGCACAGAACCAGGAGAGCCCAGGTGGGCTGGGAGGGGAGGGCCATACTCCCAGATCAGTCCCTTCCTCCCCCACCTCTCACCTGGTGGTACCAGCCCCACATGTCTGGACCCAGCAGAAGCCCAGCCTCACCTTGTTGATTTTGTTGGTTTTGGGGAGAGTCTGACTGATGTGCAGGTCTGAATACCGGGGTGGTTTCCGTAGAGGGTTGTTGATGTCACATGGGACTGACTCTGTCCGGACCAACCTTGCTGGATCCGTAGGGGTAAAAACAGCAATTTGGGAGTTTAAGTATCACTTTGGCTTCGATGACATCAGGAGTGCATAGATCAGACCCCACCTTGACCGCCCACCCCCCTGAGAGTGGAAGAGAATTCTTCCATTAAAAGTGACAGTTCTTGTGTCACTATGTTCTTTGTGGTTTCTAAAATTTTTGTATTGTCAATATATGACTTTGGGTAATTAAAAATTATAATAATAAAACAAGTTATCAGGGTTTTTTTCAATATCATAATGTTGTATTGTGGCATTCATTTCAGAATTGAAACTCATTGTAAACACAAGAGGTTCCTGGTTTCTCAGAGCCAGTAATCAGTGGACAAGCTCACAATATCCATCTGACTGTGCCCTTCTAAACTTTATGGTAGGATCATTTTTCGTTACTTTTAGGATTTCTCAGGCCTGAGCAGCCTGTTGCACATCAAAACACATCATTTGTTCTAAACAAAGCCCTTGGATACCTGAAAGAAAGGCTCAGCTCTTCCAGACATCCCCCTTGGTATCATGCCTAAAGCCACACAGGAAGCTGGGCATACAGTTGATGCTAAATAAATGCTTCTTGATCCAATTTGCATCATCCAAGCCCCTCTCCCTTTTGTTATTTCTATTACTCCCGGGGAACAAGAAAAGGGACAAAAGTAGGAAGCTCAAATTCAAATTTGATGCTTGATGTTGTTACCTGTTAGTTGCTTTTTATTGCAGGGGTGAGAAAAGGGTGTTGGCTGAGAAGTTAAAGCTTTAAGCTGACCAGGGATTTAATTTATCTGCTTAGCCTGAGCTGCCATCACCATGGAAACTGACTATATTTTCAACCTCCTACCAAGGAAGGGAAAAAGCAAGAAGCTGTAGACTTCTGGAAAGTTCAGGTTGCTTTGCACATATAGGCACCTGCCACCTTTGAGTTAAGGGGACACGGACTTGAAGGTGGTGGGAGGGAGCCCTTCTTCAAATGCCAACCTCCAAGAGCAGGTCACCTTCCACAGGCTGGGTCTCATCTCCACGTGGGAGTCGGGTTCCAGCAAGACCCCTTATGGAGAGGAATTTGGTGGAGGCGATCTTCCCAGTGAAGCTGACCCAAGGCAGTGGGTCAAGAGCAATGAGAATTCAGGTTTTAAAATAGCCTCATTGAGTGTATACAGTTCCTCAAGGAACAGATGCTTCTTAATTATGGATGTGGGGTAGGAAGGGGCAAGGGAAGAGAGCTGAAGGCTTTTCCTTCACTTGCAATTCTCTCTCTTTGTGGAGATAAACAATGCAAAGATCACTGAACACCAGCTACCCACTGGCTTTGAGACACATCACAGTAGTTTCAACAGCAATCTGCCACCTTCTTAAGTGTCCCGTGGGTTTATTCTAAAATAGAGCAGATCCCCCTGAGCATGCACTGACCAGGACCAGGGGAGATGGGAGGGGTGTAGAGGGAGGATGAGAAAGGAGGGCTTAGTATTGGATTAGCGAGTTGCTGTGCCCTAAAGTTGTTCCCTGGTGGCTCTAAAGCACCATCCAACCCATAGATGGAGGGGAGCAGGGGTGGCAGGGAGATGGCCAGAAGGAACTTAAAATATTTTAATAAGTTGCTCACATTTGAAAATAATATATGGCACATAAAACTCTATTTGAACTTTTGTTTGAAACATCAGAAATGCTATTAACACAGGTCTGCATTGTTGCTGGAGCAGCTACCATCTCTAGAAGCTGCCCAGGCGTTCCAGTTTGCCATGGCCCCATCTGGTCAGCTCTTCACATTTAGGACACTTGTTTTGCCCTAGTAGGCATCTGAATTGACATGAGACTCCCACTCTAGAGCAGTGCTTCTGAACTTTAAAGTGCACAGGAATTCCCTGCAGATCCTGTTAAAAATGCAGATTCTGATTCAGTAGATCTGGAATGGGGTCAGAAATTGTGCATTTCAAACAAGTTCCCAGGTGATCTTCATACTGCTGGTCCATGAACCACGCTTTGAATGGCAAGGTCTGGACCGGATGTCTGGCAGGATTTTCTGCAATGATAAAAATGCTCTATATCTGCACTATTCAATGTGGTAGCTATATGTGGCTCCTGAGCCCTTGAAATGTGGCTGGTGTGATTAGTTAAATTTGTATTTTTATTTAATTTTAATTAATCTGAATTTAAATAGTCAGATGTGGCTAGTAGCTACTGCACGGGACAGCACAGGCCTAAAGAGTCCTCCAGGGATGAGTGGCAACGTGAAGGATGTAGTCCTGGGGTAACTACCCCACAGCATGAAAACAAGGGGAACTCTTCTGAAAGCTGGACTACAAGGCTTCCCAAGGAGGTGTCTCCTATTGAGTCCTTGGCAGGCAGGGAAAAGCCTTTCCTTCTAGTCTTTCCTTCCAGCTAGATTGGTCTTGCTTTTCCACAGTGGAAGGCTGGCAGAGGCCCTCCCAAAGGCAGCTGCTACCTCCCTTCCAGGACACATTAGCCCAGACACTCCCAGGGCTCTAGGGGATGAAACACAGTTGGCCCAAATCAACAGGCAAGTCAGACCCCTTCCCATTTGATTGAGTCTGGAGTGCACATAATGGAAAAACACTAATCCAGTGGGAAGGAAGAACAATGGGATTGGGGGAAAGAGGACACTGCAAATTAGGAGAGGAGATGAGAATGAGAGAACAGGGTTAGGGAGGGGGGTATAAACCTGGGGACTAAAGTATCAGAAGGACTAATACAGAGGCAAGGAACAGGGAGAACAGGGATGGGGGATGGATAAAGGACACAGGTGTGAGGATGAAGGGTGTCAGAAAGAAAGAAATGAAATAGGCAAGTATCAAGGGATCGGGAGGTGTCCAGAGTCAGCCTGGGTGGAACAGCTATCTTGGATGGGTTGCAGGAGCCCCCACCCACACTGACCCCTAGGGCAGCAAGTGTTAAATACTTACCACCTCGGTGGATGATCAGGAGATGACAGGGTGGAGCTTCTTTGGTGCATTTGTTGTGGCACTTTAACCTGGGAGAGAGAAAGACAGAGAAAGATGGATGGAAGGATGGGTGGGTGGACAGGTGGAGGAGTGGGTGGGTGGATGGATGGGTGGATGGATGGATGGATTGATGGATGAATAGAGGATTAGATGAATAAGAGGGTAGGTAGATAGATGGACAGATGAATGAGTGGTTGGAGGAATAGATGGATGGTGGATAGATGGGTGGAAGAATGGGTGGGTGGGTGGATGGATGGATGGATGAGTAGATGGAGGGTGGATAGGTGGGTAGATGAATAGAGGAGTAGATGGATGAGTGGGTGGATGGACGAATGGGATGCCCCCACTGGACATCCACTGTTCTGGAAAGCTCTGGGTGCTGTGGATCCCAAGATGTGCAATGAGTTGGGGCAGCTACTGCACAGGCATATCCGAGACATTAACTCTGGAGGGAGGCTGCTGCCATTCCACTCTCTCAGGTCAGTCCTGGGTGATCCAAGAGTGGGTGGCAACTGCTTCTCCAACAGTGCCCACATGGACGTCACGCTTTGGAAAGTATTTTCCCCTATCAGTCCATATTTGTCATCATCATCCTTACAATTCTAATCATCATCTACCATTTACTTAAAGACTCATTTGCCAGCCATCGTTACTAATCATTTTACATATACTATGTCATTCGATTTTTATAGCAAGCTTACGAAATGGGTATCATTGTCATTCCCATTTTACAGATGGAAAAACTAAGACCAACTGACTTGCCCTGGCAAGAAAATGCAGGTCAGTGGTCCCAAAGGTAGCCTCTCACTTTTCTTAAAGGCTCAAGATGTAGAAGACTCCAACAGGGGCTTCCAACTGGGATGAGATTAGTAATGGGTATTAAGTTTTAGAGGTATTAAGTTGAAGAGTTTAGAGTCAAATGTCTTCCTTTGAGATAAGCCTAAAATTTCACCTTGCTCTTCCCATGACAGTTGTCTAACTTCACAGAGACAAGAACCCCAATTTACTGCAATCTGGCCTTGTCTTTTTCTTTTAAAACTATGTCAATAAGATTGATATTCACTGTGGAAGGTGCCGTAAGTGCTCCATCCACATCACATTGGATTCCCTTACATTTTTGCGCACACCAGCCTAACTCCCAACAGCCATCATCTCTGCCAGAGGGCTTGCCTTGGGGTGCTTAGAGGTTCAGTATTAAAACAGAAGCGCACGAACACTATACAGAGAAGTGGGAACTTTAGATTTGCCCTCCATCCCCTTCCCGTCTAGGGATTTGATAGTTCTCTTTAACAGACTGGGTTCAAAACTCAGGGACAGACTTGACATTGATTCCCCCTCATTGGTCTAGCTCAGTGGTTCTCAAAATGGGGTTCCCAGGCCAGCAGCATCAGCACCACCTGGGAGCTTTTCTGGGCCCTACATCAGCTCTGTAGGATCAGCACCTCTGAGGCCAATTGATTCCCCCTCATTGGTCTAGCTCAGTGGTTCTCAAAATGGGGTTCCCAGGCCAGCAGCGTCAGCACCACCTGGGAGCTTTTCTGGGCCCTACATCAGCTCTGTAGGATCAGCACCTCTGAGGCCGATGGGGAGGGATCATAAACACTTAAGTGAATAAATGAAATAATTGCAGGTGTGGTAAGTTCATGAAAAAATCATACAGGGAAATGGGATGGAGAGTGATGGGGGTAAGAGCAGCCTCTTTGGGCAGGTGTCACCTGGGAGGGCCTCTGGAGGTGAGTTCTGGCGTAAAGGTTTGGAAGCAAGAACAAGCCTGGTGGGTTCAGAGGTGAGAAGTGAAAGGTCAATGAGGCTGAAATGATGGGGGCAAGGGCAGTGAGGATAGGAAGGGGAGGTGGGCAGGGGCCTGGAGGGCATGGCAAAGAGTCTGCATCTGATTTTACAGGCACTGAGAAGCCCCTGGAAGTCTCTGAAGACTGACAGTGTCAGACTGATGTTTGGGATGCTCTCAGTTGGGGAATCTGCTGATGCTAAAGGGGAGTTGAACCAAGAAGTTTCTGCACTTGGAACAGCTGGACTCCACTCTGGAACCTTCCAGAAAGAAATGTTTCCTTTCTGCCACCCCCACCGAGGAGTCTTTTCTAACAAGCCCAGCCAGAAGGGCAACTCACAGATGCGAAGGTTGCTATCGTGGGCAGCACTTTGAGGCAGAGAGAAGCAATTTCATTTAACCTTTGGACCACTGCCATACAGGACAGAGCAGGACAGGCCTCCCACTGCCCCAGCCCATTTCCTGTCCTATTCCCTGGCATTTTCCTCTCCAGTGTCCCTTGTTGCTCGTCTCTTGCAGTAATGGGAAAGCCCTCCTTTGCTTCTGGCTGGAGAATGGGAGATGGAGCACTTGACCTTCCAGCCAGGGGCTTCCAAGGGCAGCATTAGGAGCAGAAGCGCAGCCTTGCTCATGCAGAAAACCCTGAGAGAAATATCTCCGCTGCCCAGGCACTTACACCGTGCCTGAAGTTCAGATGTCAGGAATCAGAGCCTGCACAACCAGGATCTGCTAATAGAGTCAGCAGGATTAGCCATGCACTGAAATGACACAGACCCTGGAGGGAGGGGGAAGAGGAACGACAGGTTTTGCACCATGCGGACACACTATGTCCCGCTTATGAAGAATCATTTTCCAGCCAGAAATGCACATGATTCCCCCCAAGTAAAAATTTCCTTTTTCACTGCCTGTGAAAGAAAGAACTACTAGCATGTCCCGCTTATGAAGAATCATTTTCCAGCCAGAAATGCACATGATTCCCCCCAAGTAAAATTTTCCTTTTTCACTGCCTGTGAAAGAAAGAACTACTAGTGTGCAATTTATCAGGAGACTTCCTGTCTCAAAATCAGATTCCCCAAACTTACCCTCTGAGGTTCTGATTTAGTGTTTGCCTGATGGGAATGTGAATTTTTGGCAAGCACACATGAAAGTTCAAGAACCCCTGTATAAGAGGAATACATGCCTAGATGAGAGACGTCTGGGAGCCTTAATCTTCCAGAATATAGTGCTCTCTCCTAAAAGGGAAGTGGGGTCAGGAGATAAACCTGGGTTCAAATCCTGACACCACCTCTTCCTGGCTGTGACAACTCAGGCAAGTCACTGACCCACTCTGAGCCTCAGTTTCCTCATCTGCGAAGTGTAGCATCTGTCTCACAGGGTTGCAGTGAGAACCAATGATATGATGCAAGTAGGGTGTCCAGGACAAATACTTGGCATGCAGTAGGTACTCACAAAGCGACAGCTACTATCCTCTTTAGTATGGTAGTTACCGTAATTATTGCTAGTTTGTGCAGCAGCTTTCTACTACAAGCCCCTAAGACTTTCTTTAGCTGGAAACAAGGCTGGCTGGAATGCCTGGAGCCTGCAACTAACCAGGGCAGGAGTAGGTTGATGAACATCCCAGTCTCCTCTCCTTTGGGTGGGACGACTCAGAGGTACATTCATTGTGGGATTACACGCAGGTGCCTGCAGCCATAACCTGCTCTTCAATGCACCCAGCGATGGCTGCCTTCCCTCCCTGTCTCACTTACCCACTTCCCTATTGGTGTGGCCTGGGATCACCTCTCAAATAAACCACTTTCCCTAAAATCTTGGTCTCTGGGTCTGTAGAAACAGAGGAGCCCAACTGACACCACGATAATTAAGAGACCTTCTGACCCACCAATGTGGAATGTCCCACGGCTTCTGCACCGAAACCAAGTCTGCTGCTCGTTGCTCTTGCGGTGTCTCTTTAGCCCACAGCCCTTAATGAATGTGGTCCTCCAGGTGCTCTGTGTCACAGGGAGGGAAGGGGAGGGGTGGGGAGGACACAGCCAGCTGCCCCGGACAGCGTGGGAGATGGCAAACCTGCACCCCAGACATGGGGTAGCAGCGGCACCATGATCTAGGACGGGGGCTCCGAATGACTCCCAGGCAGCAGGGAGAGGTCCTGTGTGGTTCCAGAAGTGGTTAAAAGCTTGGGCTTCAGAATCAAGCTGACCCAAGCCTAAATCACTGTTCTGCCCTTCCCAGCTGTGTGACCAAGGGGACATAAAATGAGAAAATGCCTGTGTAGTGCTTACACAGGCACCGAAGAGGTCAATGTTTCAGCAGGGAGGGATAAAACACACCTGGAGTGCACCCAGGGAATGCCAAGCTATCCTCATAGAGCCTGGAAATTTGGGAGGGATTTATTTAAAGCTTTCATTGAAAATAGTTACTTTTTTTTAACCTCTAAGGCTTAATTGGATAAGCTTCAGTTATCGAGAAAAGTTGCTTATGTGGAATATCGTAGTCTCCCAAAGGAGGTGCTGGAGAAATGAGGTGTTGTCTCTGTCCAACTAAATAGGTGATCTTATCTTGAGGGCAAAATCTGGGTCTTCCTCATTACTGTGGCTCCCTTTCCTTCCCCCCTTTACTGAAAGGTGCTGGTACGTGGTACATAATATGTGCTGAATAAATACTGGAGAAATGGAGAGAGAGAGGGAAAGAAAAAGGAAGGAAGGATGGACAGAACAGAAAATCTGTCAAATGCTCCTGATGTAGCAGCGTTCTAGTCGCTATCAAAGTGTTTTTGAAAAATGATTTCTATTTCTTATAAATTATATCCCTGCTAGTTTGTGAAATGCAAATGTGTCCCTCTCTGCATTCCCTTCTTTCTTCCCTCCCTTCCCCCCAGCATGGGGGAGGGGCACAGGGATTTGACCAGAAGCAAACCGAAGCTCCATGGACCTTGCCCGGGAACTGTGGGGGACAAATGGTCCCTTTTACGAGCAGCTCTGCTGTTTTCTTAATAGATTTGCCATCACCCCCAGCAGAACTGTGAAGCAAGACAAGCCTACAGCCTGGTGTGGAGCTGGGATCAGAATGCTAGCCTTCGCAGAGGGGGGATGAGCAGCACTCCTGCTGGGGAAGACTGTCAAGTCAATTTCAGATGGTTCACTGGACAAATCTAACCAATGTATGGAAAGTTTGCTTTGAGCACCCCAAATCCCTCATTTCTGCTACTTTCTCTTGTCCCACACCAGCTTACTTTGCAATAAT